AATCCCTTGTCCCAAGCCGCTTCCCGCAGCCCCCATTGGCCTGGAGCAGCGAACTGCGGCCAGTGGGAGCCGGGATTCGCCGAACCTGCGGACCCGGCAGGTAAACAAACTGGCCCGGCCCACCAGGGGCTTTCCCTACACAAGCGGCGACCCCAGTCTGAGAACCACTGAGCTTGTTCCGGTTAGAAAACCCATCTGGCACCTAGGTCAGCTTGTGCTGTAGATGGCTGCTCACTGCTTCTAAGAACCGATGTGCTCTGGCCCAACAGAGGTTGATTTTTAAACAGACCTACTGCTGATTTCTTAGTACAGTAGAACCTCAGAGCTATGAACGCCAGAGTTACGAACTGACCAGTCAACCACACACCTCCTTCGGAACCGGAAGTGTTAAATGAAAACTACTAAAAAAAGTAAAAGGAAAGCAGCATTTTTCTTCTGCATAGTAAAGCTTCAAAGCTGTATTAAGTCAATGTTCAGTTGTAAACTTTTGAAAGAACAGCCATAACGTTTTGTTCAGTTAGCAACATTTCAGAGTTATGAACAACCTCCATTCTCCAGATGTTTGTAACTCGACCTCTTACAGACGTTCCTGCGTGTCACACCCTCATTACCAGAGCAGCCAGCGTGTGCAAACACCATAACCGTGACATAATGTAGCATAAATTCATTTTATAACACTCCTCTGGGAAGTGACCTTCCTTCAGCAGGAATGTCATGTACACAGCTGGCTTGAGTCTGGGTATGGGGGAATGCGGCAGCAGCGATACGACACCCGATCACGTCTCTCAAAAGCAGTGATACAGCACAGAATACGGACTGTCATATTCCCCTGGGTTTGCTACACATATTCGACCGCTGAGAGATCTGGAGGAGTTTATTGCCCATGGCAGGGAGGAAGGGCTGTAGCTCGATTTAAGCCCATGGATATATTCTTCTTATAATATTACAAAAATGAACTATAAGATCCGAACACCCACGGAGAGCAATGGAAACATGTAAGAGGAGTAATGCCACTGGAACTATGAGACAGATGCTTCAGAAGATACTGGTATGGGTACAAGTACCATGCTCTGTGCGGACGCTCAAAAGCAACAGTTTCCTCTGTGCAGACAGCCCCGCAGTGCTTCCAAGGGTCAGGTTTTCTAGGCATTTCCTGGTTCCTGCTTTCTCAGCACTCCCAGGTTTTCCCCGCTGTAATCACACACAGCAGACGAGTTTGAAATTCCCCCTCGCCTCTCTCTCTCCCTGTCACCTACTGGCAATGAATAGCTGGCGTCAGGACGCATGAGGAAGCTGCCTCACCTTATTGACACAGTTGATCTTGGCACCGGCGTTCACGAGGATCTGAAGAACGCGCAGATGGCCAAACCAAGCAGAGAGGAGGAGTGCGTTCATTCCAAACTGTGCCAAAGGAAACAGAGCCATTTCCACCCTTCCGGTGATAGCCCGTCCCTGCCCTGCCCCGCCCGCTCCCCCAAACATTGCAGCGGGTCATCGGTCTTCAGAATGTCAAAGGAAATTTGAATGGAGGTAAAAAATAAATAAACAAAATGTTTCAGTGTTTCCCCATTTTCTGGCCCAGCTCCCTGTCTCCTCACCAGGACCCCGGCTCTGGGTGCAAGCTGCATCAGTGACTGGTAAGCAGCCTTTTGCCTCTAGGCTGGCATCTCATATCCACTGACAGAAAGTTATTCCCGTCTGCTGGCTTGATTTGCTGGGCTCCATTCACTATCTAGCAGACGAGTCCCATAAACCACCAACTGAGCTGGTCCTCCCAGGCAGCCTGGTTCACAGCCTCAGCAGAGAGGTGAAGGATTTCATGGACCTTCTCACCCCTAGTGCTTTGAGACACAGTCAGAAGGAAGCTTGCATGGCTGATGCCCATGCTGCCTCCAAGCCTGATCCCTTGCCTTCTCCCAGCACTACATTAAATGTAGGACAAATCCCCCGGCCCCAACCTCTGCAGACAACCTGCAACAGGCTGCAAAGGGGAGTCACACTCATACACTGTCTTTGTCGTCCACCGGGACTTCGTGCTCCAGCAGCAGCCGCACGGCTTGCTCGTTCCCGGCTCCAGCGGCCCAGTGCAGAGCAGTCCTGTCTGTCTGGAAAGGAGGAAAGGGAAAGGGAAGGTGGATACAAGCACAGGGTGAAATCCCACTGTAGCGGAGTCAATGGCAATACTCCTATTGCCTCCAAGGGGCCAGGATTTCACCCACAGTGCGTATTCACTCACCACAATGCATCTTGCACCATACGGTACTGTAATGAAACCGAGGACGAAGGGCAAGTGGACACCCGGGATTTTGCAGGTTCAGGGCCAGACCCTGGAATCTAAATGCAGGCAAAGCTCCCATTGCAATGCAAGGACTGTAGGATCGAGCCACTGGGGTCTTTGGGCCAATATAGCTCTATAGTGTGAGGAATCTAAGTCTTTGTTTTAAAAACAAGAGTGAGTTGGAAGTAAGCAGGGGGGGAGGGATAGCTCAGTGGTTTGAGCATTGGCCTGGTAAACCCAGGGTTGTGAGTTCAATCCTCAAGGGGGCTATTTAGGGATCTAGGGCAAAAATGTGTCTGGGGATTGGTCCTGCTTTGAGCAGGGGGTTGGCCTGGATGACCTCCTAAGGTCCCTTCCAACCCTGATATTCTATGATTCAAGTAGGACTAATGGTAAATGCATGAGATCTCTCTGAAGGGAAACAAAGTTAGGGACAATCTCAACCTATGGGCTTCAGGGATAATTTTCCAAAGCATTTCTGTAAATATTTGGGAGGGACCCATTTGTTCATGCAGAGCCCCAATGGGTTCTCGTGCTCTGGAATGGGGGCCTGGGCACATATTGGAAAAGCCCACCCATAAAAGGAGTGGTACCGTCCAAAGAACAAGGTGCTCAGATTCTGCACTGAGGAGAGCTATGGCAGCACCTGAATAGAGGGATGGATGGAACAAATCTTTAAGTATGGCCACAAGTCTGAATTCGTTGTGCACCCAAATTTTCCACAGCTCTGCTGACCAGTGCAGGGGGAGTCCTGAGTGCGTGAGGAGTGTGGGATCAAAGCCTGTCTTTGTAGCTGCAACATACTCTGTGCATCGTCACCCAGGGAGACTGAAGCAACCTTCACTAGTAGTAAACCTCCTGAAACTCAACGTCATTTTTAGTTATAGCCCCTCAGAATCACCCTAATCAACTCCTCTCATTCCACAGTGTTCACAGCTTTCAAATCCTTTTAGGCCGTGTGCCGTGGGTGTTTGCGCCCAATCATGCTGTGAAAGGGTTAATATGGGCCCAAGAGGCCAATTAACCAGGCTGGGTGCTCCTGGAGGACGGGCCAAGCCTAATTAGAGATAAAGTCCAGCTGGGTGAGAGGGGAACTGTTTTTTTCCCCACCATGAAAAACTGGGTGAGCCCAGTTGGCAGGGGGGAGACCAAGATGTGAAGTGAGGTGGAGTGGAGAGTTTCCTCTCTCTGGGAAGCAGCCTGAACAAGGCTGAGAGGAGCAGACAGGCTACTCCAGGGGGTGAGCCGGAGCCTGAGTGGGGCCAGGGGCCCTGAGGAGCTGTAGCCTGCCTGAACCCTTGAGTGAGGGGAGGAGTGTGCCAGCCCCTGTGCCCACAGGGTTCACCAAGGCACAGAAGCCTGTAGCTAGACAGGCGGCTAGCACAGAGCAGCAGCAGCACGTCTGTGACAAGATGGCTGTCAACTGAGCCCAGCCAGGCTAAAGGTTTGGTTCTGTTTACATGTGTTAGACTTCGATGAAGGACTCTATGGCCCCAGAAGGGGCCGTTCTTTGCAAAGTGCTGTGGCCGGAGAGCTAGGACACCGCTATGGCTGCAGTAGGCCAAAGGACAGCGGGGGAAACTGAGGCAAAGATGCTGCAATGCCACACCAGCCAGGAGGGGTCACGCTGGGGCAGCAACTTTGATACAGGGTGCAACTCTCTGGATTTCAATGCATTGAAGAATGTGCTCTACCATTGACTACTTGGCCCTGGGTTGGTGCTTTTACACTTTGCCCAGAGGAGCAACTAATGAGGAGAGTAAATGTTCTTTTGTGTCTGGAGACACAGTTTGGATGTTAACTGGCTGCAGCTCCAAGGGTCCCCACTGCAGCTAGAAAGCAAAAGGCACCTACATTGTTTTTGGCTTTGACGTTAACCTTTGTCCTGATGAGCTCTTGCATCCTGGCTATGTCGTTCCGCTTTGCTGCATCGTGGAATTCTTTTTCTGAATGAAGCACTGAAGCACGAGAAAAGACAAGACAGGCAATACGGTAAGTGGTGGTGTTGAGCAGAAGCAAGAAGTAATTGCCGTTCCTGCTGAACGTTTCCTGCATCTCACTCACTCATTATAAATGGGCATTAGGAAGGATAATTCACTGGCTAGGTGTCTACCTCTCCTATTGCCTGCTGAAGTCCCAGCCCTCCAGACTTCAGTGTGTGCACATTGCTGCTCCCTGCCTTCCCACATGTACAGAAGCATGAATGCGTCACCCCAATCCTCTTCCAGCTCCACCGGCTTCTCATCCATTTCAGGAGCCAGACTGAAATTGCCTTCCTGGTTTCAAAACCTGCCTCATGGGCTTGCTCTTGCCTATCTTGTCTCTCCAGTGCCCTTTGGCTCCCACTGTCAGTCAGCACTGGCCTCCTCTGTCCCTCCACACAGTCTCCTCCCTGTAGGCGCAAGGGCCTTCTCCTCTGCAGTTTCTGCCATGAAGAACACGTCTCCCGTTCTTTGCAAACCTCAGCTGCAAACACATCCTTTCTTTCTTTCCCACACATCCCAATCTTGCTCTCCCTCGGCTGTTGTTTGTTCCGTCACTCTGTAATTGTCTTACTACCTTCATTTTGCTGCTGGGGAAACTGAGGCACAGAAAGCTCATGTGATTTGCCCAAGGTCACCTCAGCAGGTCAGCGGTAGAGATGGAAATAAGCCTCCCCCCCTCTTCATCCCCAGTCCCGTATCTCCGCTATAACCCCACGCTTCCTTTTCTAGGAAACGCCACTAATAACACATTAGTTAAGGTTATCCGACACTTCCCATTAGAAGACCCTGTTTCTAATTGCTTATAACTTTGCCAAACTTTTAAGAGTTTAGTCTGAAATATATTGGGGAAAGTTTCAGCAAGAACAGTCCAGCTGCTCTGAGAATGAGATTGTGGGCAAAAATACAGCGTTTTGCCCACGTTAAAAAAATTCTTACAATCATTTGATTGAGAACCTCTAGCGCCTCCATGCTTTGGAGCAGGGGCTTGGAATTTGGCAGGGGGTCACCCTGGTGTCAGGGATGTGCCTTTGAATGTGATCATGCACAGGAACTCCTCACATAACGTTGTAGTTATGTTCCTGAAAAATGCGACTTTAAGCAAAACAATGTTAAGCGAATCCAATTTCCCCATAAGAATTAATGTAAATGA